ACCAACAAAATACATACCTCCCAAGAATCCCGTGGACCATAACAACGAGATGATCGGCGGAGAAGGCATCGGAGTCTTTCGAGCTGTACACGTCCTCCCCTCCGTTTCCCGCTACCGTCGAGCAAACGTCGCCGTTTTCAACAACTCTCTCCCCCTTTTCCATATTACTCTCTCTACCCAAGTATTCTCCCCTCAAATCATTAAAGTAGTGGCTTAACTGCTAATAAAACCACCAACCCTTTTCGAGAAACTGTTGATTTAGCTTTTTAAACTCTGCCAAATAATACACGACTTTTATACAACATAACGCATTAACGCGTCGGTCTCAATGGCGGGCTGATTGTGCTAAAATGGAAGCCACGATGAACACATTAATATGCAGCTGTGATTGTTTACACGAAAAAGGGGGATCTTGAACTTGATGAGAAAAATGATGATAATGGAGTACAAAAGAGGGTGGAGACGTGGCGTGACGGTGGAAATTTTGCGACCCACAAAAAAAGGTAACAGAGAGCGTACTGTCTTCAATGCCTTTGCTTTACGGTTCGGTACAGTGAGTTCGCTCATCAAATGGAGCTAAACATATATTTTAGCGAAATTTGTTGATGATATTTATTATTTTGTGAAAGCCTAACATTAGACATTTTTTGTTTTTTTTTTTCATTTTTCCTAAAGTATTGTCGAGTAAAATTTTTGGACAAAGTCTACTTTTGGTCCTCCATGTTTAGGGGGTATCCAGACTGAGTCCCCATTATTTTTTGCTGCCCAATTTTAGTCCTTAAAACAAAAACATGTATTCCCTATTATGTTTTGGTGCCCAATTTTAGTCCTTAAAACAAAAAATGTAGTCTCTATTATGTTTTGGTGCCCAATTTTAGTCCTTAAAACAAAAAATGTAGTCCCTATTATGTTTTCGTGCCCAATTTTAGTCCTTAAAACAAATAAATATAGTCCCTATTATGTTTGGGTGCCCAATTTTAGTCCTAAAAATAAAAAATGTAGTTCATATTATGTTTTGGTGCCCAATTTTAGTCCTAAAAACCAAAAAATGTAGTCCCTTAACCTCAATTTATGTGAATTAACGGTCCATTTTTGTTAATAACATCAAAGTAGTTGTGTAAAATAATTTAAAACATCGGAAAGATGTAATCAAATTTCAAAGGAACAAATTATTGACCTGATTATAAAAAATTATGATACATTCATTGCATAATTATTACTTATTAAATATTAAATTATTTTAATATTTAAAATTATTAATTATTAAATAATTATTAAATATTATTTTAAAATATTAAATTATTGACCTGATTAAATTATTAAATATTATTTTAAAATTATTAATTATTAAATATTATTTTAAAATTATGATACATTCA